TTTCTCGATTATTGAATCCATGTTTTTCAATATTCTTCACCAATTTTATTTCACTTTTTCCACGTTTGAAATCCGGAATGAAATCCGTGAGCACACCAGAAAACGACGCAAGATAATGAAATGTCAAGTAGCTCAATTTACTGGTGGGTTCAGTAATTCTGATATTTCGGTAACTGACAGTTCAGTAGAACATAATAAATACTGATAACTCTGTACTCTTGTTTACTGAAAATTTGTCATGTACCGTAAAGCTTCTAAATGACGGTAAATTCGGCACTCAATGTTACCGTATTCAGTTGTTTGTAGACAAAGTTACTGAACATCAGTAGCTTTTAGATAAAATGCTGAATGTTCGGTAATTTTTGTGTTTTACGGTGCAAAAACTGTAAAAAAAATTACTGAACAGGAAATCCGTGTTTAAGTGTGTACCGAGGGGGCAGCAAAACCGCAAAGTTACCTCGCATTGGATGAAAGGGACCGTGAAAAAGGACACTAAAATAGAAAGTTTTTCTTCCCACTATTTCATCTTAGTATTCTTCTTTGGCTGCACCGTCGGATTAACCTCACTTTTTTGACATCTGGCAGTGGTTTGTTTCCATGGACTTAGAAAAAAGTTTTAAAAAATTATTATAGGGGAAATGTTGGCTTCGGCAATACCTTAACCTATTATCGTCAGGGGGGTAAACAACGTCCTTGGGAGCTCAATTTTGGCATGTCGGTACATTTTATTTCAGAGCATCTATTGGCCAAATCTGAATACTCTAGGACTTTGTTTACCTCCCTGACGATAATAGGTTAAGGTATTGCCGAAGCCAACATTTCCCCTATGTTGTTTTTAGATTTTTTGGAAAGGAATATTTTTCAAACGAATATAGTCGGATACTCGGTCGGATATCGAGGGGGACGACTCTATCTACGATGCAGAAAAGATTTTGTTTAGCTGAGGCTAGCTGCACACACGCTTAGTAGATAGAAGGAAGATTTATGTCGATTTTGAACATTTCCTGCAAAAAGATGGAGCGTGATGCAAGTAGATGCGAGAAATGAAAGAGGATTTTTCGAAGATTGATTAGCTAGTGTGAGATTTTATGAGCATCTAGAATTGAGATTTAGATGTGTCACCCCCCTCGTCGGATATCATATTTTTTTAATTCTTTTTATTTAAAACCTCAACCACTTGAATCGACTAACAAGTAAAGGTAACACAACAACCACTGGAGTTCAAACTGATGAATGCGGGTTCATCGCGTTCATTCGTGCCTCAAAAAATCCCATGGGATTTGAAGTGCACTTCACCACCGGCGCCGCTAGCCGTAATAATTGTTTTATGGTTATTTTGCTTAACGACGTATCCAGGGTATCATCCAACCCATTTGTTGAGTAGTTCTATAATTTGGGTTATCATTCTTTTCGAATTCGATTCGTTCAACTGACAGAAGGCTAACAATTGTTAGTGGACATGCGTACAGGCTTACCATATCAAAAACTTGAAAAGGAGGACATTTCATTTGAGGTTTGGAGATTAAGGAGGACAATGATTCCTTTTCTTAACATTAAAGGAGGACAATGAGTTTTTATCAAACGTTTTAATAATATGTGCGCTATCACAAAATTCATGATTTGCTAAGGTTCAATTGAGACGGTTCATAACTTGTGGTAGATATCAATTTAATTCATGAAATGAAAACTGCAGCTTTACAGCCTTAAAACCATCCCAGCCTTTATCATGTACAAAAATCAGGATACATGTCATCGCTGATTGAAACCCACATGGAACATCTAAGCAACCTGTTAAATTTACCAGAGAGTTTATCGAACATTATAATTTATTTTCGAAATGCCAAATTTAAGTAAAAATAAAGAAAATTGATGAATTTTCACTGACTCTTCGAAAATAATATTTAATGTTCGAAAATCCGTCTGTTGTTGATCGTCCGATTTTCGAGAAATTGATTGTCAAAATTGATTCCTGGTTTGTCTGAAATATGCAGGTTTATTTAAAAAATTTCCATACGTCAAATTTAGGTTAAATTCACGAGATGGACAGCAACCTTGATCGCCTAAATGTGGGGAGTTGACAGCTGTAGTATACTCCTAGTCCCACCATCGAATGGCATTTGCTAGATAAGATAAAGTTGCGACATAATTAATCAAATAAGCTCTGCAAACAACGCTTTTTGAAAACAATTTTATTAATATGTTACTGGAAAAATGCAAGGATTAAAAAGGAGGACATTTTTGGGCAAAAGGAGGACGTAGAAAAATTATTGAAAAAGGAGGACATGTCCTCCTTTAGGATACCATATGGTAACCCTACATGCGTATCCTTTGTTGCGGTTAAGAAGGTTGAACCAAAGACAATATGGATTTAAGCAAGTTGCAAATGGCAAAAATTGCAAAATACTTATGTACTTTTTGATGTTTTTGATTTCTTTTGGAATTCCAAAATAAACTCAGATGTTGTGAACAAATACCATAGGAGAAATGTCGCCTTCGGCAATACCTTAACCTATTATCGTCAGGGGGTAAACAAAGTCCTAGAGCACTCAAATTTGGCCAATAGATTCTCTGAAACACAATGTATCCACATGTCAAAATTTAGCTCTCAAGGACGTTGTTTACCCCCTGACAATAATAGGTTAAGGTACCGCTGTAGCCAACATTTCCCCTATGTTTACATTAATTACATTGAATGCGCAGTTCAAAACGCATATGCTTACCCCTAGGAGGAATTTATTATAATCGCTATATTCATAGTCTGGTGGATAGAATCTCGGGAACCAATTGAGCTGTCAAATAGCAGCGCATAGCATATCCCGCATAGAAAAATACCATTTCTAGAACAGTTCAAACTTCACTGACACCTTACTAGCTATGTTAACTTTTCACAAAATAGTTTTGTTATGGTTTATGGAATGTAATAAACATTAAAGAAACACTACTTTCAACTGTTACAGTTTCTGGTATGTTTTAGCTAAATTTTGTTACGGTTGATCAACTATACTGAACTGTTACAAAACATTACGAATAAAAGTTGTAAACAACTTGTACAACGCTTACGTGTTTCGATTATGGTTGCTTTATGTTTTTACAATTTGTACAAACAGAAGAAAACGCTTTTGATTGAAACGGTGCTCGTGAGTTCATTGTGTTGTTTTGTTCGTTATTTTATTTTTAAAACCCTATGCTTAAAGCATAAAATATTTCTTAAAAGCGCATGCATTTTCTACACAAATATTCAGGGCTAACAGCGGTTTACATGTGAAGGAGATTTCGATGTTGGTGGCTCACATCATCCAAAAAGGAAATCGAAGCAGGTACGTTATGCCGGGGCCTTTTTTATCTTCCAGAAATGGAATGGAGTTTGTTTTGCAGGGCAAATTCATTTATCTATTCATTTTATATTAGATCAATAAACATGTTACCAAGAGCAAGGGAGGTGTCCACAAAAAGAAATCTTGTAAATCACATTAAAATTAAAGAACAACCCATGATGTCTGTATTCCGGATAAGCTACGACAGTATTTATTATAACGTCAATAAGTATAGTAATTTATACCATTTCATAGTATATCATGAAGTTAACAACAATGGTTGGTTCTAAACCGTACTACCTTATTCGAAAGTTAATGGAAATAGTTTCACATATCCAACTAGAACCTTTTCTGATGTGGTAAGGCTATAGTTGTTTTGCTAAAAATGTATGAGAAAAAGCTAGATTTCGTATGGTGAACGTTCTTAACCACCCATTGTTCATATGGTTGGGTCTTCGAAAACCTTAATCAATATGGTCAAAACTTTATCTAGGTATGGTTTGATTAAAGTTGACTGAACCTTTCTCATTATGGTTTTCAGAGGAAGATAAACCATTTTTAATGTGGTAATCGTATGGTTGTGATTTATGCGGGTAAACCACACTTCTGCAATGTCCATGAGCAACATCCTTTCTACGCGCTGTTCGTCGACAATTTTCAAGTTGAAATTCGGAAATTTTTTGAGTATTTTTTTCGAAAAAACGACTAAGTGCTTGTTAACAGTACCACTGAACTGTCAAAAAGGTTCAGCATTTATGACGTCACGCTGCAGTACCTAATGTATTAGGTGTATTACAAAACACGCTCAGAGGGGGAAGGGGGGTTAATTGGTCAAAAATATACGTAATTTATGGATGGCCCTAATTTTACTTCCAATGCTGTGTCGCAATGGGTGAGTTGAATTTAACTCGTGGTTAAAAGTGGCAGATGAGTTATCGAATAACCCTGCTATACAAGCGTGGTTATTTCGGACCGACTAGAAGTTAAATTTTGGTAACCGTGGCTGAGTTCTGTTTGAAAACTGATCAATTTTCGGCATTTTCGAACATTGAAAATAACTTACGAAATGTCACGTTTAACCACGAGTTAAATTTAACTCGACAATTGGTATTGGTACAATTGGCCCAAGAAGTATTTCTCGATTACTTTTTCGAAGGAACGTATCAGCTTTTGTAAACAACGCATTTGGTCGTCGATTTGGCGTAACTGGTAGTTCGCCCACGCATGCTAGTACTACCATCAGATAGGGAAAAATTTCCCAACTTGTTAGCGGTGTCTATGTGGGGCGTGCTATTAGTTATGCCAAACTGACGATCAGTGTTCGGAAAATCATTCTCAAATCTCATTCATTTAGCCTCCCTGCGAGAAAAAACTCGCGTGCGAATGCGGCAAACAAAATTCACGCTTGAGATTCTCATGCATATTCACGCACTCACACTCACAACACCGAAAAATCATTCCAGCTCAAAACTTATAAAAACCACTCAAATATCAATTGATATCATGCCTTTGCATCTTGTGCGAGTATTGGCGAGGGTATTGACAACCCTAATAAAAATTGTATGGTTAATTTGCTTAACGACGTGTTCTGGGTATCATCCAAACCATTTGTGGAATAGTTCAATGATTTGGGTTATCGTTCGTTTATGGTTATTTTTTATTAGGGAACCGGTGAACACTCGTGTTTATTTCAGTTACCATGGAGACGTAATTTGTGATTAGCCCCGGTCCCTTTCAAATTGTATCATTATTTATGAACGGCCTTATATTTGAAATGACGTTTCACATTCATCTAGTGATGTCCGATTTTCATTCGAATAATCGTTTAATCGATTAACGAATCGAAAAGTAAACTATTTATAATCGGTTAGATCATGCCGATATAAGCATTAACATCTCCACAGGATCATCACCGATCGTTTCAAACATGTGCTGCACTCTCATTGGTGGAAAAATAGCAGCACAGCGAACAAAAAATAATCGATTAGTTGTTAATCGAGTAATTAAAAAATGGGACATCTCTGATTTTGGTGTGATTGTTTTGATAAAAATGAGCGCAAAATTTCATCTCTTCCGAGGGGGCAGCAAAACCACAAAATTACCTTGAATACGGGGGGTTCTCATTGGATGAAAGGGACCGTGAAAAAAGACACTAAAATAGAAAGTTTTTCTTCCGACAGTTTCATCTTAGTATTCATCTTTGGTTTTGATGTATGGGAACGTGCTATCAATTTGTTAGTTAATCTTGATTTAAAAATCGAGATGAAAGTCTATCCGCCTTGTTTATCAATAGACCATGCAGCTAATACGAAAAATTACAAGTCCTTTTGACAGTTGATAGTTGCTGGTTTCCAGCTAAGAGGAAGAGGTGAAAATTGGCTTCTTCCTCTTTTATTTCTATCTCTATCCCTGTCTTCATCTATCTCTATCTCTATCTTACGCACATGAAATCGGCCAACCAGGAGCTGGTTCACGTTTGACAGAAAAGTAGTTCATTTTCGCTCCCGTATAGGATGCTGCACGCTGACGTCACGAATGAACGCGATGAACGCGTGGTTTGTTTACGTTTGCTTGTTAGTCGATTCAAGTGAATTTGAGGTTTAAAAAAAGAATTAAAATATATGATATCCGACTATGTTCGTTTGAAACATATTCCTCTCCAAAATATCTAAAAAAAACATTTAATAATTTTTTTTTCTTAAGTCCATGTAAACAAACCCCTGCCAAATGTCAAAATAAGTGAGGTTAACCCGACGGTGCAGCTCCCTATAGATTCCATAGATAAACGGAGAAAAAGTATAATGTAGCCCAACGAACTGTAGTTAGTGTAGCCATCATCATGGTGTTGTTTGAGGGAGAAGTATTAATATTATGAGCACAAAACACTTTCCACACTCCACATTCCGATTTATTTCGCGGACAACGGAAGAAGGAAAGATAAAGCAAATCATTCCTCGAAACATTGTTGCAAAGATTTGCTTTGCACTTCATTTTGTACTTTTACGCACAAAACAAAACAAAACTGCACAACGAAGAGCTCTATGAAAGCATGAACTTTTTTCACGGATGCCACTAAGATCATTTATTTTTCATGGTTGCCAAAACAACTTTTAGTGCCTCCGCTTATCTATGGAATCTACAGTATCTATAGTTCCAATAATTCCTATACTGCCGATACTCGCATAATTGTCCCATCTTTGCTAATTTCCTATTCATATGGGACAGTTATGCTTTTATGGGCAGTATAAATAGGTAGGCACCAAAACCTTAAATCTATCATATTTTTTTCGGGTTTAAAATCCTAATCAATGAGCTCCATGCTTCCTTACAAGTAGGATCCACATGAACGGCTTTCTGGGCGAGTACCTTTCGCCGTCGCTCATCCACAGGACGAACGGCCTCGCTGGCCACCGCCAGCCAATTGGCAGCATCCCTGGCGCGGGTACTGCGTTGTTTGTCGTGCAAATCAAGCACTAGGGCACTCTCGGCAATGCTGCTCGCCACGATCAGATTCTGCTTCGGTGTTCGATGATTTTTCAGCAACGATACCGCCAATATCTGACGCAACTTGGGACGGTCTGGGAATTTGTGCACTTGCGAAATTAGATAGGCAAGAGATTGTGTCTTTTGCTTCTGCAAATTGGATGAATAATGTGATAGATGGTGTGGTTGTAAAGCAGCAGGAATTAGAACTTACATTGAAGAAGAAGAATTGAGACACTAGATAAACCACGTGATGACCGTGTTTGGGACTGTTTTCGTACTTGCGTAGCTCTTTGATTACTAGTTCTGTGAGGACCGTATCTTTGTGCAGAAGCCCAAGAGCGCAGGCAGAAAAGAGAGCTTCGATAGGAGGTTCCGGTAAAGTAATGCTAGAATATATATTCATAATTTAGTGAAATATGGTCAAATAATACTAGAAACTGTTATCTACCATTGAAAAAGAATTGTTTTGGCATCCGCCTCGCCCTGAAAAGCATACACCATAGCAGACATGGCTATCAAAACGTAGGCCTTCTCCAAATCGGTGGTAGCCAACCAATTCAAAGCGCTTTCATATTCGGCGTACGACTCCTGATACTGACCGGCTTTGAAGAATGCAAGCGCCTTTCCTATTGTAGCGTGATATGTGGCTTCTGCAACTTGCTGGTAGCACTCAACAGCTTCAACATATTTTTTCTGCTTTAATAGACAGTACCCTAAATCGCAGAGGATGTAGTCTTTTTGAACGCCATCAGCCTTATTTGCAGCTTTCTGGAATGCATCCGATGCGGTCCTCCAAAGACCAAGACGACTACTGATGTTACCTAAAAAGCGTAGTGCTTCGACAGATGCCTCATCGTGTTTATCAGCGCAATGCCACACAATCGAATCATGTGACACAGGCAGAGCGTGCATGTTTTCAATGGCAAATTGATAGTGTTTATTCTTTCGATAGTCATCCTCGCCCAGCACTGAGCAAACCCAATGTGGATACCCCAACGCTGATTCGGCATGGTAACCAAGTTGAGTGCAGTGTCTAAACAAATCCATTGCTTCGTCCGCCTGCCCAATTGTTTCAGCGATCAATGCTTGCCCAATCCAAGCGTTCATGTAAGTCGTATCCGTCTGTTGGGCTCTTCCGAAAGCTTTGTTCGCTAAACTGGTCGATCCTTGAAGTAAATACATTACTCCCAGATTGGACCACCCCACGGCGGCCGTTTTCTTATCTAAAGAGATAGCTTCAATGAAGCAGTGCTGGGCCAATGCTAAGTTATTGATCTCTTTTGAGGCACTTATGACGCCCAAAAGGTTCCAATTTTGCCAACGGTTAGGTTCCAGTTTGATGGATTGCTTTGCTGCTTCTGCAGCTGATTGCAGTAGTTTCTGATTGTCGTCCTGAGAAAATCCGAACCGCAAAGCTCGACGATATTGATTCGAAGCCAGCTCATACCACAGTAAACTGTTGTCTTGATTAAGTTTCAAAGCACGGCTGTAGCATCTGCTAGCCAGCACATATAGCTTCTCTCCCTCCAACAAAGCTTGTCTTCGATGGGAAACGCCCGCCAAGCTTCCTTCAATTAGTAGATGCGCTCTTGGCTGTGGGAACTCTGCAACAGTATCCAATACATTGCCCAGTATCTTCCATAAGCAGACAAAGTTGGGTTTGATTTTAATTGCCCTGGAATTATATAAATTCAATGTAGGGGTACCTATTAGGTAGATATGCAATACACAGGAAAATACCTAGTTAGAAAATCAACACAACTTTGGGCATGATCACGACTTTTTCCAACTAGCCTTTGCCCCAGATGGTAATAGCATAGTCCAGCATGAGCTTCTGCAATACCCTTGACAGCAGGGAAATATTTATCGTTACTTGCTAGTAACTCTTCAAATAATGGTATTGCATCTCGATGTTGTTTTAGAATCTTTAAATAATGTTTTATTTAGAAACGAACCCATTGATTTGACATTTTTACCTACATTCTTAATGTTAGCTAATTGAAGCTTTGGATACGGATTATCCGGTTTAAGCTCTGCGGTCTTCTCAAACACTTTCATAGCCGAAGTAAACGAACCACGGCCCATGTAGGCATCGGCCAGTCCTTCCCAACTGGTAATATTATCCACATCGTAACGAATCACAGTGCGGAAAGCCGCAATCGCTTCGTCGTACGACTGTTGCCCTAAATGGTGCAATCCAAGCTGAAGTTGTGCCCAAGCCGATCCACTCCCACCGACGAGACTAACCGTGTTCTGCAGCAACTTATGATTCGCCTCCCACTCGGAAAGCGTCCGATACAGCGAACTGAGTAGAATGATTGCTTCTTTGTGGCTTGGATTCAGAGAAACACACTTTTCCAAACATTTTCTTGCACGGGTGGTATCCGCATTGTGAACGTATAGTTTTCCTAGCCAGTAGAAACACTTAGCATTGTTAGGCTGCAGCTTGGTAGCCCTTAAAGCACTTACAAAGCTTTGCTCAACGTTTGAATTGCTGTAGTATATATTCGTCAGCTCCAGAAGGCACTCGCAGTCATCTTCATGTTTTTGCAGAATTTCTTGAGCTTCTGTCTTTCTACCTTCCATTATGAAACGTAAAGCATTCAAATAATCAAGTTTTGCTATCGACATATTAGCCGTTTTGAGTTTTTCAAATTGGTCATCGTGATTTTCCATGTGACCCAGTAGAAGCTTCAATTTAGTGTCATAGAATAACATTTCCGAACTGTTATTGCCCTTTAACACGTTGTCACTAATCGAGTGCGCTTCCTTCAACTTTTCCTGATCACCATCTTCGATCAATGTCACGAAAAAGTTTTCATTAACAATCTTCATCCGTCGATAGATATTTTCAGCAAGTCCATAGGCTTTCTGGCAGCAGTAGATTTCAGCCAACTCTTTCAGGCAAATGTCCCAATTCGGTTGAATGGTATCAACTTTTGACAGCATGGCTTCAGCCTGTTTTAGTTCCCCTTCACGATAATAACGTATTCCTCGGGCAACCAGTGCCAATGCCGATTCTGGGTTTAACTGGATTGCTGCATCAAAATATGTATAAAAAGGCCTATCAACGAGCGTTTTCATCCTCTCTTCTTCAATTAACTTTTCTGCGTACACCTTGCATATCCATTCCAGAGGGTAAATGTCACCCTGGAACCGGTTGTACATCATAGAAGCTTTCTGAACTAGTTTCTCGTACATTTTCAATCGATGCAACAGCTTAAGATAACGTTTGAATTTTTCGTTCAGGAACGGATCATTTTCATTTTTAGTCTCGTGCTCTAAAATGCGTTCTATCAATGTTTCATATTTTTCTTCTAATGATTGATTCTGCAGAAGAATCCTGGACAAACTAGTAAACGCCGATATTTTTCGTACCTCTTGATTGTTTTCTATCTCTCCTACAAATAGTTTCACTACTTCGTTCACCTGGACTCCCTTTCGTGCAACAGCCTCTAATTTCTGATGCAAATCTACATATTTTTCCCTGTAAATGATCAAATTATATTATATCGTAGTCAACTTCTATTAAATATTAAAAATAAACTTACGGGGTCAATTCGAGCAATCGTCCGCATACATCCGGAAGGTCGGCATCGTCGGCACAATTGGCGAGCCCTTGTAGTGCCACTGTTGGATCGTTGTTGCAGGCGAGGGCGCGCTTCAAAAAGTTGGCCGCTTTTTTGTTGTCCGCTTCCTGATGGGAAGCACCCATCAGCAGTAATGCCATGTAATTTTCGGCGTCTTCCTTCAGAATTTTCTAAAACAAAAAAAACAAATCGATGATTCACTCTATGGACTAAGAAAATGGTAGGTACGTATTCATTTAATGAATAATTATTATTGCGAGTACTCACATTGCACAACTTAATAGCATCCGAAAACTTTTTGTTCTTTACTGCTTCTCGTGCATCCTTCAACGCGGCCTTAATTTCTTTTGAAGACATTCTGCTCACAACACGAATTTAAAAAAAATAATAATAAATATCATTAGTTTGTTCTAAATACACAAAACATTCATCAAACCTCATCAAACCGGTCTGGTGTTGTCTTGTTGTCCACCCACTGCCACTGTCATTCAAAAATGTTTCTTGGTCCGTCACTCTTCACGCTAAGAAAAAAGTATGCATTAATGTTTAAATTTTAAACAGTTTCGAGAAAACCCGCACATATTCATAATGAATAAACGCTGTTTACTCATCGGATGAATAAACGCGTTTTTCTCGAAAGTGGTTAAATTTTAATCATTAATGAATAAAGACGTTTTTCTCAAAAGTGGTTAAATTTTATACACCGGAAGGATTTTAAATGGTTGATTTCTCATATTTTCAAAATAATTTATTAAAATAGCAATAAAATTAAAAAAACCAATAAAAAGTTATGTGTATTTCTTGATGAATAAACACATTTATCAGGTGCAACTATTATTTTTAAAATCTGATGATCGTGGGCATACGGCAATACTCACACATGATTTCCATTGGCCGGAACTATTTGCGCCACGACGTTCTGCAGTATATCGATGAAATTGATGAAATGGATCATGCTCTGTATCACAGTCAGCCAAACCCGCGGTGGGTGTAGACGAAGTCTTGTTGATTGTATCGGTCGGTGCTCCGCCAGTGGTCCATCCGCGATGATACCACAGACAAACAGACGTAACTCTTCATTGTGTATCTTCGTTCATGCATTTAACGGTTGATTTGAATATTATCAGTTCCGCGAACTACTCGCCGCAGCGCTGGCATCGGATCACTTTGACGTTTCTATATATTCTATAGAACTTTTATGCAATATTGTTTACGAGTTAGCGAGCAAGCTTGTTTTCCGCGAGAAGCCAGATAGATGTCGTTACTGAGGTTATATGTTTTGAGATACTATATTTTCAAGAACAAGGTTTTCAAAGAGTTACGTCTGTTTGTCTGTGATGATACCTTGCCATGCCGATGATGTTGTAAAGTCGTTTCAGCCTGCTGGAAGGAGGACGATTTAGTCTGATTCAGTCTTAAGCGAAGCATTGTGGTGTTAATACCATGGCAAGAAGAATATTTACAGTAGTACTTACTGCTTGGGAAAGACTGTAATGAACCGGAAATCATGTTGGGAAAGGTCATTTTAGTGATTGCTTTTCCATTGAAAGTTGTTTCCATCTCTCCAAAGTCGGAAACGGAAAAAAAAAACTTCATTTTCGGTCCGCCACTCGATTGCGAAGGAAGTAGCAATTCCTGATTCCCACTGCTGGCGACGTTGATGGCTTCTTCTGGTAGTTCTCACCGAACTCTGGAAATGAAAAGAGAATGATAAATTACTATTAAATTTTATCTATTATACTATAAACAATAAATATATCTATCTGCGAAAAGTTGATCAATGATGGCTGCCGCGTTTTCTAAAAATGATTGTTGTCAAGTTTTTTTCAGCCAATAGTGAATAAAATTTAAACACTTCTGTTGAAAAATGGTTTTCTCTGGAAATGTCTAAATTGTATACACTTTTTTGCTATACATTTAAACCACTATATGACAGCTTGAACAAGCTCCCAAAAGTGGTTGAAAAATATTCATTAATGCATAGACTCGTTTTTCCGTGAATTGTTAACCTTCACGGAAAAACGAGTTTAAGCATTGATGACTATTTTTTATCCACTTTTGGGAGCTTGTTCGAGCTGTCATAGAGTGGTTGAAATTTATAGCAAAAAAGTGTATAGAATTTAGACATTTCCAGAGAAAACCATTTTTCAACAAAAGTGTTTAAATTTTATTCACTGGTGGCTGAAAAAAAACTTAGGAACAATTATTTTCCGAAAAGCAGCGGCCATCATTGGTCAACTTTTTGCAGGTAGATAGATTGTTTATAGTATTATTTATAATCTAGATACAATTTAATAGTAATTTATATTTTTTTTATTATTTCCAGAGAGCGGTGAGAACTTTATCTATAAAAGTTTTTCCAGAGGAGCTAGTGAGCTGCAGATTCAGCTGGTACAAGCGTTGTCCGGTACGGTTGGCTTCCGATGATATATTGCTGGACATGCCAACTGGAATATCCTGTCGCCGGGTGGGATCAGGCCAAAGAGGTGGCCGATGCTAATAGTAAGTATATCTACACAGCAAAAAATGTAATATCGATCAACGTAATTCAAGCTGATGTATGAAATAATGATGTAATAGCAAAAATCAGATACAATATTACATCAATGGATGTAATTTTGTTCGCAAAATCGGTATACATCGTACAACGTCATATTACCATAGAGGTAACTCTAAGACCACTGGGTCCCGAAGAAAATCATTATTATTTTTGGCTCACTCAGTACTAGAACAACAGTCCCAAGCTATTTCACTCACCCCTGCATGTTCTGCATGAATCCACACACCCCTGATGTTATCTGTCAAACTTTCATAGCGAATCAAAACAAACATAGTGTAGTAATAGAATTTCAACTAGAATAGGGTACGTTAATCGTTTGCTTGGGACCAATAGGCTACTAAAGTGGTGAGCCAATTTAAAATCGTTAGTTTCGTATTGATTGTTGATTGTACCACATGGCAACACTACTACCACAAACGAAGTGACAGACGACTAACTGGCAAAGAAATCCATTTAAATAATGTGGTTCACTGTAATAGAATTTTCTTGGAAGCTTGTGCCATCATCCACCAGATTGGTTAGTTTTTTGTTTTGATGTGAACAAAGTTGATTTTGTGTACAATGATTCTTTAACAGTGTGCAAAGAGTGCGTATCATTTTGTCATTTTTTTTTATGAATTTCAGTTTTGAGTAGAGTGAAAGAGATAGAACCAAAACATTCTTTTTTTTTTTATATTAATTTATTTGTACAGGCTCAATCGAATAAACTTTACAGAGCCGAGTTATCATTTTCATTATACATGATTAATGTCTTAAATCTAGAGTTAAAGGAATTGAACCGATTACTCGCGGTCGTCTCGAGGTTAGTGGAGATTTACAATTTTTTGGGTGGGGAAAGGGAGAAGGAGGTTTGAAATATGATTTATTATACAAATATTTAATTAATCCTAAAACATGAACTTATTTCTATTCATCTTGAAAACAAACATTAAAAAAAAAACTACACGCACAATACACAAACTAAACACAAGGTTAATCAAACTTACAATCTAAGGTTAGTATTCTTAAAGTAAACATATATGAGTTTCATAAACTCCAGGTCACGTCTAGCCAAAATATCCCGAACTGGAACATTAGGTTGTCTACCTCGAGCCCGAAGGGAATCGCACAGCTCAGATCTGACTCCACGATGCTCAGCACAAGACCAAAGGATGTGATCGGCGTCTTGGTAACCTTGCCCACATTCACAGAGATTGCTGTCTCCCAGCCCAACACGAAACAAGTGAGCGTTTAACGAATAGTGATTGGACATGAGGCGAGACATCAGACGAATGAAGTCTCGACCCACATCCAACCCCTTGAACCAAGGACTCTTCGACACGATGATCGAATATAGCCATCGTCCCAAACTCCCTTCACTCCACTTATTCTGCCAGCTGACGAGTGACTGTTGACGATAAATGAAGAAAAATTCATCGTAGGCGATTTGTCGATCGTAAATATCGCCTTCCATAGCGCCCACCTTAGCAAGTGAGTCAGCCATCTCATTGCCCGGAATCGAGCAATGAGATGGGACCCATGCAAAGGTGATGACAAAAGATCTTAAAGATAAAGCACTTAAAAGCTCTCGTATTTTCATGAGAAAATACGAGGAGTGCTTTACCGGCCTCATAGAGCGAATAGCCTCGACAGAACTGAGACTATCCGTAAAAATAAAATAATGATCTGGTGCAAGTGAGGCGATCGTTTCTAGCGTATAATATATTGCCGCCAGTTCAGCAACATATACGGAACAAGGAGCTTGAAGCATTCGAGAGGCGCTATGAAATTCGTTAAAAATACCAAAACCAGCGGACGACTCTATTAGTGATCCATCTGTGAAGAACGATCTTGCGGAATCAACTTGGCCAAACTTTGCAGCGTAAATTGACGGAACAATCATGGAACGATGATGTTCTGGGATTCCACGAATCTTCCGCGTCATAGATAAATCAAAACTAACTGAATTGCCGAAGTCGGAGAAGCATACACGATGGGGATTATGCTGTGAAGGGCTGACATCCTGAGTTATGTACACGTAGTACAATGACATAAAACGAGTTTGAGGGTTTAGCTCAAGAAGCTTCTCAAAGTTTTCGATTACCAGTGGGTTCATAACTTCACAACGGGTGAGGAGCCTGAGGGACAATTCCGAAAACCGATCCGATAGTGGCAACATGCCCGCCAACACTTCGAGACTCATCGTATGAGTCGAGTGCATGCATCCTAACGCGATACGAAGACAACGATACTGGATACGTTCCAGTTTGATGATGTGAGTTTTAGCCGCCGACTGGAAGCAAAAACTACCGTACTCCAAAACCGATAAAATCGTTGTCCGGTACAACGTTAGAAGATCTTGCGGATGAGCTCCCCACCACGTTCCGGTAATTGTTCGGAGAAAATTGATCCTTTGTTGGCATTTTCGTCTCAGATACTCAATGTGGGATCTCCAGGTGCATTTGGAATCGAACCAGACCCCAAGATATTTGAAAGACATGGACTGAGTGAACGGCTTACCCAAAAGTTGAAGCTTCGGTTGTGCTGGGCTATGCTTCCTAGAAAAAACGACCAACTCAGTTTTCTCCGAGGAGAATTCGATACCTAGCTCGATAGCCCAAGTAGACAAATTATCTAAGGTATCCTGTAAGGGTCCTTGCAGGTCGACCTCTTTGAGCCCTGTCATAGACACTACTCCGTCATCTGCAAGTTGTCTCAACGTGCAGTTGTCTCTTAGACAATTGTCAATTTCTCTGACGTAGAAATTATACAAAAGGGGGCTTAAACATGAGCCCTGGGAGAGACCCATGTAACTAAATCGAGAAGCTGTAGAGTTTCCATGAGAAAAGCTCATATGTTTCTCTGACAGCAAATTGTACAAAAAGTTATTAATTAATGGGGAAAGGCCACAAGCGTGGAGTTTGTCTGAAAGGACTTCAACCGATACTGAATCAAAAGCCCCCTTAATATCCAAGAACACAGAAGCCATTTGCTCTTTTTTAGCAAAAGCCAACTGGATTTCTGTGGAAAGCAACACGAGACAGTCGTTCGTTCCCTTACCCCTACGGAAACCAAATTGAGTATCTGAGAGTAGGTGGTTCGTCTCAACCCATTTGTCGAGGCGAAAAAGGATCATTTTCTCCAACAATTTTCGAATGCACGATAACATCGCGATGGGACGATACGAGTTATGATCTGACGCGGGTTTTCCAGGCTTTTTAATGGCTGTAACTCTCACTCGCCTCCAATCATCTGGAACAATATTGAACTCCAGGAACTGACAAAACAAGTTCAACATGCGCCTCTTAGCGACGTCTGGGAGGTTCTTCAACAAGTCGAACTTGATCCTATCAGCCCCCGGAGCCGAATTGCGACACGAAAGGAGCGCGAGTGAGAGCTCTAGCATTGAAAAAGGCTGGCTGATCTCGTCTACCGAATTCGTCGTTTCGCGAGGAATCATCTGTGCCGGCACGGAATCAGGACATACTTTTCGCGCGAACTTGAGAATCCACCGATCCGAGTACTCCTCGCTCTCGTTGTTTGAAGACCGGTTACGCATCCTTCGCGCCGTGTTCCAAAGCGTATTCATCGACGTTTCACGCGATAAACCGTCCACTAATTGCCGCCAGTATCCGCGTTTCTTGGCTTTGATGAGGCTCTTGAGTTCGTGTTCAAGAGTCGAGTACGCTTCGAAATACTCGGGTGTTCCGCGTTTCCGGAAAAGCTTAAACGCGTCGGACTTTTTACGATAAACCTCAGTGCATTGCTGGTCCCACCAAGGGGTAGGAGGTTTCCTACGAAAAGACGTTCCTGGAACCGGCCGAGTTTGAGCTCGAAGCGCGCTGTCCAAGATCAGATTGGAGAGGAAGTTATATTCCTCCAACGGTGGAAGCTCTTCTACCGACGACACGGCTTCATCTATCGCGGTCTTGAACGTTGTCCAATCGATATTACGGGTGAGGTCGTACGCGACGTTAACGGATTTCGACGGATTGAACCCACTGGCAATCGAAATTTTGATCGGCAAGTGATCACTACCGTGGGGATCCTGGATCACATTCCATGTGCAATCCAACGATAATGAATTAGAGCAAAGTGTGAGGTCTAATCTACTTCCATTTGAGGATGGACCAGCCAGACGTGTTACTTCTCCATTGTTAAGAATTGTCATATTGAAGTTATCACAGAGGTCATATATCAAAGTAGAACGGTTGTCATCATACAGTTCCCCCCAGCCTGTACCGTGGGAATTAAAATCTCCCATAATCAACCGTGGAGTAGGAAGAACTGAACAGATATCTGAAAGTTGTTTTTGACTAATCGAAACTCGGGGAGGAATATACACAGAAGCAATACAAAGGCTCTTGCCTTTAACAAAAGCCTGACATGCGACAACTTCAATACCTGGAAATTGTGGAAGATTCACTCTATAGAAGGAATGGCACTTTTTGATCCCCAAAAGTACTCCTCCTCCACGCGAATCCTCACGATCCAGTCGAATAATGTTAAAATCATGAAAAGGAAGATCGATATCTGAAGAGAGCCAAGTTTCACACAGAGCAAATGCATCACAATCATTATTGTGAACCAAAAACTTAAACGATTCTATCTTAGGAATAAGACTTCGACAATTCCACTGTAGAACAGTGATCAAATCCCCGACCTCGTTTGGAAAATTATCCATCGAAGGAGATGATTGCTGCAAGGAGGGGCCACTTCAATGTCAACTGCTTCAAGAGGGTTTTCACAGTAGGAATCATTGCCAGAACAATGCTTTTCAGAGGATCAGAAATATCGAGGTAATTGAGGATACTGTCCACAATGTTATCAAATGAGAACAACCCAGATGAAGAAGGGGCTTGTGTTCTGAAAATTGGGGCATCGGGGGTTTTGGATGTCCCCGGGAGAGGTGGAAAATCCTGGGTATAATCAGTTCTGCGGAATCCAGGAGGAGTAGAAGTCTCCTTTTTTCCACCACTCCTTGATTTGGGCAAGCTGATTTGGGGTTCTTGATCTGCAACTTTCCGCGAACGGATGCGTTTTCGTTTCCGGGCAGAACCTTCCGGAAAACTGAAAGAAACTCCCTCCTCAGCCAAGTCAGAGCCAGACTCGTCATCTGACAAAAGAGCGAAGGGATTTGTTTCGTTGGTCGATGGCTTGGCTGTCTTAAGCATTTCTGCAAAAGATCGCCTGGAACGTTCTTTAAGAGAGCGCTCTAGTTTTTCCCCGCGTTGTTTATACACCGGACACGACGAGAGACCATGAGGAGGAGATCCTTTGCAGTACACGCATTTTGGTGCCGTGACTGTGCAGGCGCCATCCTCGTGCTTCTCCCCGCATTTGGAACAGCGTGCCTTGCTGCCACAGTGAGAGGCCGTATGTCCCAACTGTTTGCAGTTTTGGCAGTTCATGACCCGAGGAACAAACAAACGCACAGGTAGCCGAAGTTTTCCCAACTCGATGTACTGAGGAAGGGCTGAACCAGAAAAGGTCACGCGAAACGAGTCTGTGGGGGTAAAACTCTTTTTACCCTCGCTGACAGATACTGAGCCCAGTTTTTGGACATCCAGTATCTTCACCGGGGGAGCAAGGGGTTCTTGAAACGACCAACCGCCTGCTTCTCCAAGATCTCGGGGGTCAGACTCGCTTCGGTGACCACACCTTCGATCTCCACATCACGAGCTGGTATGTAAACCCTGTACTCAATCGTAAAGAGCTGGGAGGCAGCAATCTCGTTAGCCTGCTTCAGGTTAGAAACGACAACACGAAGTTTATTATGCCTAACCTTCGTGATTTCGGTCACGGCCGAGTATCGCTTCGTCAGATCAGTGGAAATTTGCATCAAGTTCAAAGGTTTGTTTTTGGGCTGAAAGTAGACAACCCATGGTCCAGTCGAGTCATCTGGATAGGCTCGCGATCGGGGGCTTTTCTGAGACGAACCATGAATGACAACACGTTTTCGTCTTTTCTTGCCATCGAGTGGCAAACTGGTGTCATCTTCCGACAAAATGTCCATATCGTCTTCTGACGAGACGTCCATTTTGCCGTACTAGTGGGAGCGGTAAACGCTCTACCACTGAAACGATGCTTAAAACCACACAGACACAATAAACAGAAAAAAAAACTACAAACACAGAAACACAAAATTAAATTTAACTGATGGGCGAGAGAAAGAAACAGGAAAAAAAAAACTTATCTGCTATACTACTACCACCGAGTGATTACACAGCAGCAGCGGAGCGACGCGCAGCGTGGGTGACCTTCGATGCGCGTGTGCGGGCGATCTTTGTAGTGGTGTGCTTGTATTAGGCTCGGCACTCAGCTGGACACACGATGATGGATGACCGGTATAAATGCAGAGGCAGATGCTGACACTCGATGACGATGATCTGTGTGCAGGTATGCGTGATCACGCACCGATGGCAAAATGGTTGGCGAATTGGCAATCGCAAAAACAATTTTCCTTCCGATGATGCCGAAAACACACTTTCTTCTCAGAAAAAAACTCACTTTCAGATAATTGTTTAGCCGGGTACTATGCCAGTAATCACTAAGCGAGAAAAAACTGATAATTTAAACCAACCGAATACCGAGAAAACTTCCGAAATACCGGAGCGCGAAACAAGTCGACTGTACTTCTTGCTAGGTCGCAGTGGGATGAACCAAAACATTCTAGTACTTGGAGAAAATGCTAGTTCAATCTAGTAGTAGTGTTGCCATGTGGTACAATCCAGTAGTAGTGGTGTTGCCATGTGGTACACTGAAAAATTTCAATAGCAGGTTAGTCACCAAAGTTTTCGAGCCGCTCCGTCTGTCACTTCCTTTGTGCTACTACTGGATTGTACTAGCATTTTCACCAAATGTTAGAATATTTTGGTTCTATCTCTTTCACTCTACTCAAAACTGAAATGCATAAAAATATGACAAAATGATACACTCTTTGCACACTGTCAAAGAATCATTGTACACAAAATAAACTTTGTTCAATATAAAACAAAAAAACTAACCCATCTGATAGATGATGGCACAAGCTTCCAAGAAAATTCTATTACAGTGAACCACATTATTTTAATGGATTTCTTCGCCAGTTAGTCGTCTGTCACTTCCCGAATAAAAATAATTATAATAAAACAACGAAATTACCGGAAATTACAATGATTTTTACTGTTGAATTTTGAGTACATTAAAATTTATTGTACGAGAGAAAAAATAGATTTCGATTTTTAACGATACAATGCTCAAACAACGAAAATTAGTGTGATGAGATCAAATTTGTCCTGGAAAAATCACTTTTTTATATTGTTAAGATGCTTAACAACCCCCCTTTTTTACTGTAAATTTCTCAAATACCATGATTTTCATTGTTGTGAACCATAAATTTCGTTGTGATTTTATGGTAATGGACAAAAATGTCCAATGTTTTGTCAGTAAATATCATGGTTACAATGACAATGAAAATCATTGTATTTTTATTGGATTTTTTTTACGGGTTCGTTTGTGTTTAAAATCGTTCCGGTGTATAAAATTTAACCACTTTTGAGAAAAAACGTCTTTACTCATTAATGATTAAAATTTAATCACTTTCGAGAAAAACGCGTTTATTCATCCGATGAGTAAACAGCGTTTATTAATTTTATGAATATGTGCGGGTTTTCTCGAAACTGTTTAAAATTTAAACATTAATGCCTTCTTTTTTCTTAGCGTGTTCACGGAAAAACGAGTCTATCCATTAATGACTATTTTTTAACCACTTTTAGAACTTGTTCGTGCTGTCATAAAGTGGTTAAAATTTATATCAGAAAATTGCATACAATTTAGACACTTTCCGAGAAAAACGTTCAACACAGGAAGTGTCTGAATTTTATTCATTACTGACTGAAAAATATCTTTGTTTACATTCACGATCATTGTAAAATGGAAGTCGTAGTTGCAGTTTTGTTTTAGAGCGACGGTTTGTGTTGTTTCTAGGGAACACAGCATAAATATTAGGTAAGTTGGTTGATTAATTTGATTAATGCCTATTGAACTTAATGTTAATACTTTTTTCAGGTTAAATGTGGTATGAACTTCGACCGACCGGAGTCTCGGTATAACGTGTTGTAGATTCCAGTACTACGGTTCACAATAATCGGACATGAAACCAGAAAGAAGTAAGTTGATCCTTTTAGTATTGGAAGTCTTCAACTAATCCCAATGTCCCGCTTCTGCACAAATCTTGGTATGTGCGAACCTTCCCTGCGAATATCCATTAATCCTCAACTAACACAGTAGCTTCTTCCAGACCAGCAGCAACACAATCTCCTGTAAAGCGGCTGAGATGGACATCGTACCTGGACGTTTAATAGCCACGGCAACTATCTACATGGCCTCGAAGAGATCGGCGATATCGCTGGTGCGGTCAACGTTACCATTTGGCAGTCCTTTCGGCAGATGCACTTGCTCGCGGCAGAGCTTCAAGTGCACTACACCAATCGCATAGTTACCACAGATGCATCCATTGGAACGAATCACCAACAAAGGCACAATTGATATGCCACGCATAGGTGTTCCGAGCTACTTCTTCGGCTACATTTGTACTTGATACTGGTTAATCAGATTCACCCATAAGGATAAACCTAGTTTAGGGTTTAAGTAAAGGCGAAGAAATTGACCTAATATTAAGGATATTGAAAATAAAATACAATAATTTAAAATCATTCGGATGTATACAATTTAACCACTTTTGAGAAAAACGTCTTTATTCATTAATGCTAATGGTTTGTATTATTATGCTTAATGGTTTTGTATTATCGCTCAACTTTACGTGGAATATATCGTGAATTGGTAATCAGTAAATTACAGGCAACCAATTCGCGATATATTCCACATAAAGTTGATCGATGTTACAAAACCATTCGTGGACCTTACTGACTACCATAACCATTACCATTAAAGTTCTCAAACCATAAGTTAAAAGGTTCTAATATAGTTCTCTTTCCGAAAATGTATGGAGAAAACAAGAATTTGGAACGGTAATGGTTCTTAACAACCCATTATTTGTAAGGTCCAGTTCCAAAAAACCATAATACATAAGGTTGAAACTTTATCATTAAACGTTCATGTAAAGTTCCATAACCATTTCAGTTAAAGTTTAGCAGGGATTATAAACAATTTTTAACCATTTTAGGCAAGGTCAATTTATGGTTCGCGTTTATGCGGGTTGACCTGGTTGCAGCAGTTTATATGTTATTATTTACTGTGTAGAGTTTAAAAATCCCAAACTTTGGGTATTTTAATTTGTCTGTGTATAAGGTGATTTTTTTTCTGACCGCCAGCTCTCGTATTGTTTACATTTCATTCGTGTCGATTAGCGATTTTTCGTCAACTACTATGGTTTTATTTCACTCGCACGTTTGCAGAACTTTGCTTAAAATTGGTAAATATTTGTTGAGTGCACATACAACCCAACTACTTCTCGTTTTCTCGCAGGTGAATTCAACAACAATATCAGGATTATCGTCTGCGCCAATACCGGCGGAATATCTCGTGAGCGAATCGTGCGAATGCTTCTTACTTTCAAGTCGTAATTCGTCAAACAACGTTTTAAATCATTTGCAAGTCTTGTATTAAATTGGAATCAGTTTATCAGTGATGTGATCAAGATCATACAAATTTAATTTAAGAAGTCTCAATGGCAAGTCAAGTGGAGCTAAAGCAATCAGAAGTTCAAAATGAAACCAAGACTACTTGTGAGAATGTCCCCCAAAATGGAGCTACAACATCCAATCAAGTAACTGCAATAGGATTACATTAAACTTTATCACACTTGACAAAAATTTAATTTCAGATCTTAGTCAAACAGGCCAATGATACAGGTTGCACAAAAAAGCGCAACCGAAGTGAGAATGATTACGAACAGGAAGCAACGAAGCGTAAAAAGATTTTCAAATATGGAAATTACAACCGTTACTACGGATATCGGAACATCAATGAATCACCAAAAGAGGACGTCAGACTTCAGGCTTTCATCGAACAGAAAGAATTGATAACCGGTAAACAACTACTGGACATAGGCTGCAATAATGGTTCACTCACACTTTTGATTGCAAAGCATTGCAATCCTGCCAGTGCTGTTGGAATAGACATAGACGGAGATTTAATAGGTAGGTACACTGCAGGGAGTTTTTCTTCAATATATGTGATGAACTTTAATCTCAGTATTCGTTTCCAGGCAGCGCACGAAGACACCAATCAGTTATGCTAAAATCAAGTATTGATGACGGCGATGCATTTCGGTCCCTAAAATGTGTGGAATTCAAAATGGCAAATTATGCTTATCAGGACGAATCACTGCTTGCCAACGAGAAACCTCAGTTTGATGTGATACTTTGCTTATCGGTAACCAAGTGGATCCATTTGAATTTTGGAGACGCTGCTGTGAAGCTTACGTTCAAGCGCGCATATCGTCAACTGCATGATGGAGGAATATTTATACTCGAGGCCCAGCCATGGAGTAGCTATAAGAAGAAGAAAAAACTAACGGACGAAATTTTTGCAAATTTCAAAAAAATCGCCTTTCGTCCAGATGAGTTTAGCCGGTTCCTGTTGGGCGACGAAATCGGTTTTCGGGAGATGTTCGAGCTAAAAATAGCTGATCACACGGTAAAGGGATTCCGGCGACCAATTTTCGTGTTTCGGAAATAGGTGAGTGATGCAGGGTATTCTTTAAAGGTGAAACCGATATAAATTATTGAATTGAACTCATGTCTTGATTACCTAACATGGATGGAAAAGAAAATCCTTTTATTTTATAATAGGGTGAGTGACCCAATAGTGGAGGAGTTAATTTGTTTTATTTATATAAAACTAGCTGAGTGTGCCCGGCCTTGCTCGGGATTCAATATTAGCTTGAGTTTATGCGCCGAGTAGTAGCTTCCGAGTCTATAAGGGTCAGACAGACACAGAAATTCATTTATATATACATCTTCTTATTGCGTGCTCTCAACTTAGTGTTCTAAATGCACTTCCACTGTTACTAATTGAGAGCTTTCGATGCCAATACCAATGCATGAATTTGTATATTGTGTGGCAAGCACAATGATACTCTATGCCCAGGGAATATTTCCAACCCGAAAGATATCCTCGACTGGACCGGGAATCGAACCCGCCGCCTCCGGCTTGGTAATACCGTGTCTTTACTGAGTCCCCTTATACAGGGTGTTTGGTTCCGGGTTTTACATATTTTCAGGGTACATAGGGCTCCTAAAGTTATGAAAAAATCCCCATGAAACATAGGGTCGGAAATGACTGCTAAGTGAGTTATTCAACATTTTATATTTTTTTGTATTGTCAACTTTGGTTAGCTATATTTTTTTAATCTTAATGTGGTTTTCTGATTTCAACATACAAAATGAAAGACTAAAGCCTTAGCTATCAATGCTTTTTGGAAAAGAACTCGATTAAAGTTAATTATCATACATTAAAATTGAGAAGTATGTTGAAAGTACCAAAAAAACTGGTGAAATTTCATACATTTTAGTGTTTTTAAGTTGAAAATTTTCATTTCTGTTTATTTAGTTGTTCTACAAAACATTTTCCATGCAGTTCCCTAGATTTGTGCCTTTGGTAGTAACCTTGTAGGCTTTATGGTTTCTTTGTAATCATTGATTTAAAACAGCCATAAAAACTTGTGACGTTTTCATAAAATGCGCTATAGTCACCCTATTCGTTCGTACGTTCGGCTGTTGCAGTGGACTACGCACATGAAAATTTGGTAGAATGTTATTGTAAATGTTTAGATAGGGTTACGGTATGTAATGTGGGTCTAGTCCTTTCATTCGGCCTATCACGCAAATAAATAATTAATTAAGGAATATTACACAAAAAATAAGGAAAATATTGATCACTGATGATTGATAAATGTGTACCACACACAAATCAATTTATATCACAACATTTCAATACATTTTCAGCTCTCGTAAGTAATAAAACTGGTTGAGAATATCACTCTGTTCGGAGTTTTTAGCCGCCATGACTTCTAAGGTTAAGATGGGAAGGTTGCACTGACGATCATCAAATGGCCTGATTATGGCATTTATTGAATGGAATTACCTGATAATACACACTAGACGTAAAACTCACAGTTACTGTTTGAATATTTTATGTTTATTTTAATTGTTTAACAACGTTTTCACAAGTAAATCATGGACCCAACTTTAGGGACACATTTCTTTTCTATGTTCCTAACTTTGGCCCATGAAATTCATTTGACAGCATATAGCAATAAGAGTAACGTCAACAATGTGGTTTGCATTTGGATGATAAGGAACGAACAGGAAGGGAGATTTTTTCTGCCAAATCTGTATAATGAACATCACAATGTTTTGATTTAGATATTCTGCGGTCGAAAGACGATAAGCGAAATTTTTAATTTTTAATTTTTAACTTGAGTGATTTAATGTAGTTTTCGTAAAATTTTCTCTAAGAAATGTTTTGAGGAATGAAGAGTATTAAGTTAACAGTGATAGTGATAAAAAAAAATACATAAGAAAACGTTACCAAGAGCGTTTTTTTTGAGAATCAAACAGGATAGGACGAAGTTGCATCCATAAATAGACCCAATTTGGGGACAATAGACCGATATTACATACATTTCCCTGGTGAGTTTTTGTCTTAAAAAAAGTAAGTTTTTTCAACTTTTTGCGGTTCCTGATAGCAAACGACATGATAAGCATATCTAAGCATACCATTTAGCAGTAGAATATCGTTTGCAGGTAAATTAATTGATGAGTTATGATTAAAAACGTAATCTATGGCTGCATATTAGACCGAGGTTAGGGACGTATACCCTACATTCTTAACTTTTGATTACCGCACATCTCCTGCGTCGAAAGAAAACATAACTGCGGAGATGTTTCGCGGTATCGAATATTGCTCAGTCTCAGCAGAAAACACAACGAGAGACACCGAATCGGCGAATTCTGAGAGCGGAAGGGAGAGAAGTAGGTAGTGGTAATAAGTCGATGTCCTTTCAATTTCATAGCACTCGCAGCTCAGCTGCGGTGCTGTTTCGATGGAGGAGTGTGGAGCTCCGCTGCTTCTGTATACACACTTAGATTTTTTACAGGAGTCAGTATTTTTACTGGATTTTTGGATTACTGACTCGGTTAAAATTCAAATGACTGTTATTCGTAAAGATTGGATAAAATCGGAAAATTTTCTTTTTCATCATTACACGGGGTTAACAGAAGTTAGTCTGTAAATTTTCGTAACACATTTTCTCAACTTTGAATTTTTCACAGATTTTTAAATTTTACCGAAGAGTTCCGCAATTCAAAAACTCGGTAAAAATTACTGACTCGATAAGTGTGTACTGATGTATGGTTGGTGAAGAGGTTGGCAACTGGAGGGTATTCTCGGGCTAGTGAATGCCACCCATCCCCACTTATAATTCAGTAATACACTATTCATTCATTTCTGTTTGATATGTTTACAAAGTTTGCAAACAGAAATGAGCATTGCAGTGTAGTTACCAATTTTCCAAGTCATAGACTTCAGATAACTGTTCAAAGTCCCAGATTTTTTTATAACTGAATCATGAACAAAAAACCAAAGACCACTATGACAAATGCGATCGGTCTGAAGGGATCTTTACATAGAAATTGTTTTAAGGTGATACGATCCAGAACGTCGGGCTCTGGTTCCACTTCGCTTTTTCCAGGAGGCCATTATCTGCTACCGGTAAAAATACAATAACAAAACTGTGATGACAATTTAGTGCCTCAAATCGCAATAGTGCCCGAGATTAACTTCCTAGAAAACTCGAAGTGGCAGTGAAAGTGCCTATGATTTGTGGACGCTGAACCATACCACCTTAAGAACTCAGTATGCCTTAAGAACTCAGT